ACAGCGCTGGCGATGTACAGTGCTTGCTAAGCAAGCTGCTGTTTCTCCGATTAATTGTCTTCTCTAGCTAGCTGTTTGTCGGTCGGCGAAATTGATAATGGGCTCGGAGCCGGCTGAATGAATATGTACGCCGAGGTCAGCCCGTAGCCCAAGTCGCAACCGACCTCAGACATCGCACACAGTTCATGCTTACGTTGAGCTCTCCTGGCCTTCTTCTGTCGCGCAGCCCACGTGCCTGTTGGTGGTGACCGTGCCTATTATCCGTATTAGTATTGGGGGCATATAAGAAGTATATGAGTAAGGATACACGTTTGTCCGAGTAACGTCTACTGTGCTGATCAGCCTGTCAAAGTCAAATCCGTTCCTGTTTAAGATTCGTTACATTTCGTAGTTTAAAGTAATCAGGAAAGACGAAAATAAAGAAAAAATATACTTAAGAAAGAAATCCCCATCAATATCATAGACCCAAGGGCTTTTTTGTGAAATGTAAATGTTAGTGAATCCGTTCGCTTATAAGTGTTTTGTACGTTAAATCTGGATGTTTGGGTGATGCCCATGAGATGTGAGACTGGTAAGGTTCCACTTCGAAAATATATCTTACTATTGAAAAGTGGTAGCACAAAACCATGTGTACAAGGCTGCCCTGCGTACGTCACTTCCGGCTAAGAATGGCCGGACTCGGTAGCAACCGTGAGATGCTCATGTAATGCATGTACAAGAAAGCGGAGAAAACCGAATGCCTATAACACGTATTGGCTCCTAAATGTCGTAAAAACCTTTTTTTGGCAGTAAAGGTATGCATAAAGGATCATTTCTGTTATGACGAAATGTTGTTGCCTGTGCCAAGAATAATAGGCTATTTTCGGAATTTCACGCCATTTCCCATTGCGATGCACATTTTTCCTTACACCAAGCCTATTTTACCCTCCAGTTGTGTCGAGCTACTTCCTTATGATCCAGAAAAAAGCTGTCCGGCATAAGAATATACTTTCTCTGTATGGGGTATCATTTGCCTGCCAAGGATGAATGTTTTTAGATTTGAAGTTTTCTCCAAATATTTAACGTACGTCTGTCATTGTAAATACCTTTACCGGGGCATTAAATCAATATTTAATGACTGCGAAATGGACCGTACTGATTGGCATTGCGCATTACTAAACAGTCCCTTTTCTAAAAACAAAATGATGGGCGTAGAGCTTGAGTAGAGTGCTCTAATGGCTTGTTCGTAATGTTCAGGTACGTGTATCTCAGTTCTTCCCATCATTATATGAAACAATACTTCAACACGCTCACATAACAAGGACACACGCCTTTCAAACCGAACCCATTTTATGAAACAAATATGGTTTTAAGAAAACAGCATATAAATATTAATTGGCATTTATGGATTAATAAACTAGTTGCCATTTCAAATAAAAATGGTTGTATCAGTTCGCGGCATTGACTTATCCCAATTCCTGGCAGTGATTAACGATGGATCAGTATTGGCAAACAAGCCAACGCCTAGCTCTGCCAGAAGCCCCATCTTGTCTGGTGTTGATCAGAGTTGATTGCACTCTAGTAGCTGGTTACACGGACTAGATTGATACGGTTTCTCAGTTTGGCAGGCAATGGATTTTTTTGCAGGTCATTTGAGGGGAGATATTTAATTTGCCTTGGAATTGGTAGAGATATGGTTGAGACGAGGTGGCGAGTGCTGTGTCCTTTTTATGGCAGGTTATTGATGTATAACTACTAAGTGTAAGGAAATAGTTGAAACTGGCGAAATTGGCTAAACACGAAGTGTGTTTGGTGCAAAATGCCAATCGGACAAAAGTTACCTGTTTTAAAGATGACTTTAGTTTTGCGGTTAATTACATGTAAGGTGGCTAGAGTGGGATAGCTGACTGCGTAATGTCGACTTTGCGATATCGGTCAAAGATGGCTTCACAAAACGCCGCGATTGCAAAACGTCAGTTGGCTGCATAACCATGGATAGCCGAGAACTGTTACATGACAACACCTTTCCTGTCATAATAAACATCGCAATTGATAACTTGATGGCGTGTTCATAAGACATTAAATGGATGAAAATTAAACATTAAATAACTTATTATTTTCCAAAGATGTAGTATGCTGACATTAATTCATTTTTATACGGTCATCGTTACCGTCTCGGGGGCGGGGAGGGGCGGGGGGAGCAAGGAACCGTCCCTCTGGTGGTCAACATATAAAACAAGTCTTATTATAAGAATGCTAAAATGAAGATTTTGGAGTAAAACTCAATTGATCTAACTGACTCCACTGACTGACTTTGAGTGATAAAATTAAATAATGTCTTCTAAGAAACAGTTATGTTAAATCTCAGTTCCCATGTTTAAGCGAACAACTGAAGGTTAGGCTAGTCTTGAAATAATGCTTTTCAAACTTATCTATCTATCTATCTATCTATCTATCCATCTATTCATTTATTTATCAAAACTTGATATAAAGACAAACGGCTTTTCTGTTTTTTTTCTTTCAACTCGTATTTATATATTGACACCAAATCCTGTTGTGAAGCATTGCATATTCATTCACATCACCGCAATTTGAAATCGAGAGATGATGAGCACAATTATCTACAAAATTAATTTTGAGTTATGCACGTAGAAACAGTATTGGGTAACATTAATTCAAACATTTGCTATCAGTCAAAAGACTTTTTCCCAAATATCAAGGGCGGTGTATATATACTGCCATAAATGTTTGATATCAGTGATGACGGCTCATTTCAAACGTTGTCAGGGTAGAAGTGTTAATTCTAGGTGTCGATAATTGATGACTGATCGTCAAGTATGACACGTACCGCGGCATTAGCAATGCCATAGTTTGAAATTAAACAATACAGATTATCTGTTAATTAGGTAACACGTGTCGAGTTAATGCGGCAAGAGTGCTCTCAAGTGCAAATATGAGATACACTGATGAACTTAGCAAGGTAATCTCAGGCAACACTGAAATAATTAATGGTATCATTAACAAATGCTAGTATGCGGGTTAAAATAATGCCGTTTTGACGCGTATGTATTTAACGAAAACATTGTCTGTGCAACTATCGACCTTCAGATTTGATAGTTTATGGTTGAAAAGTGCCTTGAAATTCGCGGAATGCGTGCATTTAACATGATGTTCCTGTTTAAACTAGCTATAATATACATGTGATGCGTCATTTCATCCTATGCAAAGAATATATTATCAATATCCACCTCTTTTTGTCAAATTACCGGAATGAAAAGAAATCAAAAGAAAAAAAACTTGAACTATATTGTATGTTACCTATTTATTGAAATCGACTCAATTTTCATAGAATCTGAGACCTTATTTGAATAACAGCTTTAAAAGTCTTTGTAACGTCTAATACTTGTAATCAAACCCATTTTAGAAAGGTGATGGGAAGGAATTCCCCTTAGACCCCCCCTTCTGTACTGCTTTTCGACTAACGTGGCCGATTAAACTAGGGGAGGGGAGTTCCTCTGCCAGTGCATGGGGGGAAACTGTACCTGCCGTGTACATAATTTTCTCTAAAAAACACTACTGACAGTTACTATTCTTTTTTCTATGAAATTTTCAAACGTCCATTTTTCTGAGCACAGATGTCACTTCGTTACTTAAAATCCAGGCTGATACCAATGCTTTATTACTATCAAATCACCATCTTGTACATGTGCAACCTCATGCAGAACAGCTCTCCGCCTGTTGTATTATTTCGCGAAAGTGTGTCCCTTTGCAATTTGAAATTAAGGTTTCGTGCGTTACAACGTGATGCATTTCTGTACAAGTCGACTTGAAATTCCCATGGCTTACCGTTCGATACTGCCACTTAGCGTTTGAGAAAGAAGTTTTGAGCTTGTTTTTATCTTATCAAGTTTTATATTATGAAAAAGGAGTAAGTTGAATATACCATTCGAAGAGTTTTCAATGCGAGCAGATTTGAAGAAAAGTAACATTACTTGACTAGTAAGGCTCACGTAAACTGGCAATTATTGGAAGTGCCCAGATCATTAATACATATTATCAGATAGGTCCGTAATTATATACAGTGTATATAGATTCCAGTTTATTATCAGCCACACTATTTTCCAAAGCTTCTGCCATATTGCAACTACTTAATCACTACAAAATAAAAAGCACAATTCAATTTGAATTCTACCGTTCATCATTAAAAAGAAATGATTAAAACCAGAATCAATCACTTCGATTTTCATTAGACGCTGCAAAATGTCCGTTCATAATCGGTGTAATGCATGATCCCAAACATTTGTCGTTTGCACCAGAAACCTCGAAATAAAACGACATTTTACAATCTATCAAAAAAACAAGAACTCTTTACATAAAACATCACCTTCATCAACTCTTAATCCCAGTATATCGCGCCTTCAACTTTGATTGATATTTTTTCAAAAATGTATTACTCGAACGATTCTTATTAATTTCCCTCCGAGCAATTAGGATTATTTGTTCGCGCTGTAATAGGAATGTCATGTAAATCGTCATTTATTGGAGACGTATGGAGTCATTAATTAACATGGTCGTGTTCTTGGAATACACGGCGCTAATAGGTCTATTAATACTAGAATCCCTGCAGAGTACAAAACACGTTAATGCAAACCAATATCCGCCGTGTGCTTTTATTATTATATTTTTTTCCGAAATATACGTGGATTTGTAAAATCGCGTACGGACCACGATAAACTGTCAGCGTGAATTGCCTGCGCAGAAATTGGCACAGCTTTTAAGATTTTTTTCATGGCAAATCTGCATTTTTAGCGACACGCGGTATTAAGTACCATCATAATCTTGTTACTCTTTTCTACAAGTGGCAACGGCGGCCAAAAATGTCATATGCACCAATACGCATGTACCATAAATATGCAAATAGGTGTTAATTATCAAGAATTTACCTATTTCCAGTCAGGGCTGATGCGCCTACCTTTCCTTTCCCTGTGATAAGTAAGTCTGATTTTTTAATAGTACCTTTATTAAAGAAGCAACATATTCAACGACAATATCATACATTAGTGAAATAATAATAATAATATGTTATCCAACATAATAACCACTAACAGCTTTTCGTAAATAGCACTTCATTCAACACCTAGAATTTTTCACGTTCACACGCTATCATACATAGTTTAAGTCCTTGACTGATTTGCGAATAGTTCGACTTCAGAAAGCAAGTCTGTATATGTACAACCACACATACACAACACAGTGTGCATTGGCATATACCTTAACTGACCCTCTCAGAACAATCGAGAGTGGTTAAATGATGGACGTGGTTCAGGGGATAGCGTTCGTCTTTGGCCATCTGCCGTATGGAGTTCCCTCTTGAGCTGCCCCTCCACCGGCGCACAGTTGTCTCAACGTTAAAATTAAACTGCGCTCCTCGACGGCAACAGAGAAGTTTCTGAAAGCCTCGCCTGAATTTAGAATACACGAAGGCATACAGTATAGGGTTCATACAACTGTTCATGTACGCTAAACACTGAGCGGAGATTTGGAAATAGATAAAAGCGCTCACAGCGTCCTGTGGAACTCCCCAGTAAACCTTCAGAATAAAAGCAATATGGATCGGAAGCCAACAAATCGCAAAGGCGGCCGTCACTATAACTACTACATGGGTCAGTTGCCGCCTAGCTCTGCTCATCTGACCGGAGCCAGTCCGTTCTGGTGAATTGGAGACGTATAGTTTACGTACTATCAGAAGGTACAGAACAATGGTCAAAGTTAATGGTAGGGCATAGCCAAACAGGCAGAAACAGGTATAGAATACTTGTGCGTCAAACTCTCGATTGTGTGCAAGGTTGATGTCTAAACAGCGTTGCCGCGTGGCGTTTTCATAAACATAAATACCATGTTCGTTATACGCCGGTATATTGATAAGTAATATCACCACCCATAAGACAATGATCACAATGTAAGTGTTCCTCTCCGTTTTCAGGGTAAGTGAACGGAACACAAGTACCAATGTCAGAAACCTATCCAGGGCCATCAGAACCATGGTATAAATGCTAGCCCAGGCACTCACGTATATAATGTAGTACACGAAATGACACCAAAAGTCGCCAAAGGGCCAGTATTTCAAGATAAACATGGCTGCCGTAAACGGCACGCATATGATGATAAAAATAAGGTCCGCTATTGCCAAATTAGCGATGAGAATGTTCGTCGTGTTCCGCATGGGTTTGTTGGTAAAAATCACTAACAAAACCAACAGGTTTCCCAAAAATCCAACTGCAACAATTATGGAAAACAATACAGCCACGACAAGGTTGCTGATATCTTCTGTGTCATACCCTTCTGTGCCATTGCCGGTGGACGAACCTTCGGTTACTAACTTGGTGTCATTAATATGCGACACGTATACCACGTCCTCGAGAACGGCGTATGCGGCAGGTATAGAAACATTAAAACGAATAGCCATGTTCGTGGGTCGCATTAATGAGAAGATGAACCAATGCAGCCTATTTTTTAGTAACGAGTCACATAAATATTTATTTACAGACAGTCAAGCACAATTTTCCTAATGATCAAAATGAATAGAACCGCCTCGCATGTTACTGCAACTCTAATGATGTTTGCCCACAGACTTAGTTTAAATTTTGGTTCTGTAAACTTGTCCTCGGTAATTGTCCTAAAGAACGTATGTTTCACAAAGACCAACGCAATATGTCATAAAAGTCCTTTAGTGACACACTCATACGTGTAACATGTATCTTCTTCTTAATTGTGTTTTAGGCCTGTAAATGGTTCGTCTTCAAAGTCTCCTTGGAGAGGACTGCATTAACACACGTCACAATACTTCGGGTGTTACGAGCAAGTGCTTGGTCTGTCCTGCTTTACGCCGAATCAATGTGCTTTGACACCATACCGTTCTCAGCTAAAGGCTATATCCTTAATGATTTAAGATGCGATGAATTCCATTCGACAGTTTAACGGATAACACTTAGTCGCTGTCACTTGTAAACAAAAATAACCAATCAAGCCTCTCTTGAAGAGAAAGCGTCTCAAGATATGAAGGCTGAGGGTGCTTCACGGATGAAAGTCAGCGCTTTTTTTACAACCCAACGTCCAGCTGTGAAACTACTTCTTTCAGTTGAAATATTTGATAGTGTTAAGAGGTTTACCTTGTATCTTCATTAGGAAAAACATAGGCATGCCGAGGTCAAAGTTGGGGCAAACTCTGAAGCTATACCTGCATTCTTAGTGCAGCAATAGAGATTTGCTTACAATAATGTTTCTGCTTTTCTGCTTCAGTTTTGTTTACGAACACGTAAGCGCTCTTGATAAATCATTTAATCTCCGGGGCTGGAGTCCACAATATCAGTTGCATCGCACCTGTATAGTTACACAGCGATTTTGCGCCAGGAGAGATCCCTTAACGATATAATTAACCTTCTGAATGATCCCTATCAACTGGACTATCAGTAACTAACTGAGTATTTCTGGCTGCTGATGGCTCTGTATCTCAACAAATCTGCTGAAATCCTACTAGATAGATTGGTAAGAATAACCTTCGCAACAAAAAAAGCTGGTTTGGTCTTGTTCGTACCTTAGCGCACCCTTAAGGAGCAGCAAGAACCGTCTACTGTCTTTATGCTGCTACTAGTTCGATAAAACTGTTCTGTGGCCGGAGAATTACTCAATCGACTGTGAGGCACGTTCATATATGTTCCCGGAGTCCACCACCCTCAGCAAAGATAATTTCTTCTCCAAGCCTCATGGTAATCGCTGATTCCAGCTTCTTCAAACAATAAGGATGACATTTGCGCATGGAATTGGCCTTTCCAGGGAATTACACCCTCATAATTCGTCATCTTAAATGGGACTGTTAGGTTAATATGCATATAATCACATGATAGATGTAATTTCCGATGCAAACATCATGGCGTTTTGTCAAGCGAGAACACTGCTTTTATTTCTTCAGTATTCCTCTTTTCCTTCACGCTAAAATTCTTTTTGTGCATTGACCGTTGCATTGGACTGAGGAAGGTAATTGGAATCGAAGGAATGGATCCGTGTTCGCCTCCTGAATTTAGCACGAGGGTTTTTTTTTAGGTTTCGCTGTCACTGACATTAAATGAAAACTTGTATAAGGGCAATAATAGCAAGAAGCATTTTCCTTTCCGATCGCCCAGTCTACTTTCACTGACAGTCTCTCCTGTTCCTTGGTGATTTGGGGGGTCTGTTATTAGCGACACTTATTCAGAAGGGCGCTTGAAGATAGTTTCGTTGAATTATCCTTACTTTTCGGGGGCTTTATTTCCAGAAAAGTACACAAAATCCACTTTGGACACCAACAGACGTTCCAACAGTCCGATACTAGATAGACTTCGCCTTGATTTCCTTGTTATACACTGGTTCTTTAGTATTTCCCCTGGAGACTCGCCCCTTAGTATTAACCGAGAAATGGACCCCTTCAACACAATTACTTAATCCATTTAGAGACCTGCTGTTCACTTCGAATGTCCAGCGCCGTGATTAGTTAGCGATGAGGATCGGACGCAGCGCTCCCTGAAGAATCGATACACGGTTCCTACCGAGCGTCGTTAGCCGGGCAATGCCAATTTGAAGCGGACGTTGTGGTCAATGAACCCCGTGCAGCCTGGCCCTAAAGGCTGAGATGCCTCCTGTAAATAAGATAATATTATACATTGAGAATTTTCTGAACAAACTTCTTGTCTAATCCAGCAGTCTCATTACTTTCCCTGTGTAACATCTGAACTGATCGAACAGTAAACGACCCTTTGTTTACAGTTTACGCTCGGGTTGGTTTGTGGTCAGAGAAAAGGGTCTACGTCTTAACAAATGGTTGGGTATACGGAAGAAAACCAAACAGATTTCCATTAATTTTTAATTTAATTTTTATTTAATAAATTTAATTTAATTTATTTTTATTAATAAGTTAAAACGCCAGTTCAGGGAGGAGGACTGTGTGTGTGTGTGTGTGTGTGTGCGTGTGTCTGTGGTGGAGCGGGGTAAAAATTGTGTCATAAATTGATGGCAATTTTTCTTTCTCTCGGTCCATCATTTTTTTTATTATCCTTCTGTTTGCGTTTAGGAAAGTACAACAAACGGGACAGACAACCTGCTTACACATATTGCAGTCCTTCAACAACCCGTCCTAAACCTACGGCCGTGGAGAGGTTAATAAAGGACATGCACATGACCATAGGGCTGGTATTATTGTCAGTCACGGCAACGTCAGATGTACACAACATGTAGTACCCTTATTCTAGCACCACGCAACCTACTATCACTGCTTCCATTTTACGACAAATACCCATTGTTAATGGGGGAGCATCACACACTGATAAGTGAAATTCTCAAACTCAAACGCTATACACTGGATGCACCATGGTTCCAAGGCCAGTGATGATGCAAAGTCCTCGGGTTCCTTTAATGTCATTTCTTAATGAGAACTGTTAACGACAGAAATATGTAATTGTCTTGATCTTGCCCGTATGTTGGACTTTCGTAACTTCAGTTCTTAGAAAAGATAATTATAATGGTTAAGATATTGTCCAAGGCAGAATCCGGGCACTCTAATCACGTTAATCAGGCTAAATGATTGCCCGCATTTTCAAGAATCTGCGCTTACTTTTTGTAGGAAGGATTTTGCACTTACTTTTGGAAAGGAATCGTTGTTGCAACTGAAAGCTGATAAGAAAGGAGAACGCGAGAGGGACTGGTCTGCTTGGCCAAACCTGCTATTATTTTCGGCGATATTTTTCAAGATATAGTGCACTAGTAGATGCACTGTATATGTAATTGGGTCATTCCACAAAAAAAATGAACATTTGAGTCACGCACACATTTTGTGTATCATTTGCACAACTGTTTCATATTACTTTTTAAATACTGCTTATTTAGTGCCATGGTGGACGGTACTCTTCTATAAAACAGTGAAAATAATATTAAAAGTCAAAATTATGGAAATACTGCACAGGACGGGTTTGTGTCACTGACATGCATCAAATAATAACTTTTTTGGAATGAACTTTAAGACTGCCACTGTCTCTCTGCCATTGTCCCTTGCACTCTCCTTGGACTATCTACTTACTGCTGCCTGTATGTATATTCGGAAGTTGCAATTGGTGAAAACGTTTTGGAAAATTCCATAACAGATTGTGCAAGTTTACAAGTATTGCCTCTATAATCATAATTGATTGTCATAATTTCAGAGAGAGAGAGAGTGAGAGAGAGATGGGGGGGACCATTCATGATACTTAACATACAGTACGAACCAGAACTCTCATTCCTTCTACGTCCCCAAGTACATGTACCTACCCGATCAAGTTGCTGGCACTGGAGTCGAGTGAACCATGGTGCCTATACTCCCATAATGTTTAAACACATTATTTAAAAATCGGTCGAATCTCTCACACGTCTACAAAAGTCATCCCACCGAGAGACCGTCACCTCTATTAACTGTACCTACCAAATACACCGCACTTGTTTACCTATGTAGTCAAAAGTGTAACGAATTACCTGGATCACGTGCTGGGTCGCACATTAGGGTATATCTGTCTAAAAATCTGCGATTTTGTGGAAGTTGTGCAATCGTAAGCATTAGGCCGCAATTTGACTCGCGCCGGAAGCGTTTCAGCTAATCAAGCAAGATCAACTTAACTGGTCTTCATTACCCGGAAACCTATCACTTACCTGTAAACACGTTGCCTTTCGCTCGAGGGTTGGTGTCTAAATAGCGAAAACGATGATCTAGTCTACGCTGTTTGCTAAACGCTTCTGTTTTTCATTAAAAAAATTAAAGCGGGGGCAAGAGGGCCCGTATGGGTGCACAACCTTGCTCGCCGACAAAAATAAAAACCCTGTCAAGTGACAGTGCGCAAATGAAGAAAAGCCCTGTTACCGTGCCAACCAAGTAACCTCTAAAAAAAGTTCATTTTGATAACCCATATAAACATCTGCGTACATTTACAAGCAGTTTATCTGTAAACGCGTACAGTAATGAGAACTTACCTGACCAATTCTAAATTACTGAGGACTGAACGAAAAAGAATTACAACGCTATTTTTAAAACATTAAGTATATCCGTTGATAGAAGTATGTGACACACGTCTTATCAAGCAAAAGCGTCGTGTTATTGTCCAGTCACAAATGTCCTTCGCGGTATTAATTCGAACGTGCACGCGATACTCTTTTTCTCTCGGCGATGGAATGACACGCAAATGTAATAAACCCTTTGTACAGTGTTCATGCCTGGATAGCGTTAATATCGCGACGTGTTGGCGATTAACACCAAAGAGAGGAAATTTGACAGAAACGCTGAGTATGGATGACAGAACTACTGGTAATTAAGTCGAACAATCAGAAGGAACATAATGCAGTGTAATCACCCGTCGACGACCGTAGTTCGTTTGTCATTAATTAGCGTAAGGACATTTTGTTCATTTATTGGACTTGCTATATATGTGCGCTAACAGCCCATCTTGAAAACCAGTTTTTATTACAGTGGGTCGCTGAACAAGAACAATTATGAAATACATATGTAGGAGATTTTCCCAAGAACAAGACTATGACCCTTGGGTTTAGAGGAACTTCATTGATTGAAGTCCTTGCTATGTTCTACTGTCAGCGGGCAGCGTCCATTCCTTTTTCACCCGCGACGTAGCCTTCAGGCCTATAGGTCGTAGATTTAATTTTCTTCATGGCCTTCTAACATTTTGCAAACCGAGGCTATTTCCACCACAGGTTTATAAGGTCCGAATCTTTCTAAAAACCTATTAAAATAAGATTGTTCACTTGTACAAAACTAGGAGTCATAATGTGTTGGGTCTTACACCCCATTTCCATAGATTAGATCGACCTACTTTAGATCGACCTAACTCCCTGGGGGTTCACGCTAAATAGCTGTCAGCCGGGCGGACACGAAAGTTAATTATCCCCTTACAGCTTGTAGTAGGCGGGACGGACATTTAAGTCGGATTATCTGACAGTAATCTAGTGAGACTCCCCGCGGGGATAGATCGATCTAAAATCTATGGGAATAGAGCCTAAGTGTAAAGATAGCGACCGACTAGGTTCAGCACAACAAGTTATTTATTTATTTATTTATTTATTTATTTATTTATTTATTTATTTATTTGGTCGCCTATTTATCTTCCGGCACATCTGATTTCCTATGTTATTTTTATAAACAGTTGCCTTAGGCCTGCATCAGATGCAATAAGGGTGTTTTTTTGGCTTTGTACGCTACCTTCCTACTCAAACACCATACCTGCAGCAGTTACTGTAATTTATGGGAAAATGAACTTCAGTATGTTTAAATCCCTCTCACTCTCTTTCTTTCTGTCTCTCTTTCTCTTTCTTTGTGTGTGTGTGTGTGTGTGTGTGTGTGTGTGTGCGTGGATGTCTGTGTGTGCGTTCGTGTGTGTGTGTATGTGTGTGCGCGCGCGCGTGTGTTTCATGACCTGACTTCCCATTCTCCTTACCGTGCCTATAGACTCAATTAAAGAAACCCATCCCAAATGTCACCGACCCTGAGCCACCAACGCACCCGTGTGCCAGCTAAGGAATGTGGATCAATTATACATCAGTGCCGATGGCGATTCTGCTCTATTTTTTGTTTACCTGGTTCACTGTTGTTTTTTCTCCCGGATATTTACATTACATATATGGTATTTGCTGCTACGATACAATGACAATCTAAACTGTTGAGACAGCAGAAAAACTTTCCTTTAAGTTACTACTTAAGGTAGCTCTTAGGCTGATGAGGCCTAAGTCCAAATTAATAATTTTCTAGTAAAACTACACAAATGAAAATTAATCTCATTATAAGGAATAAATGCTTAATGACGTCTTTCAATTTGTAGGGAACAATGACCGCAGTCGAAGTTCATATGCCCAAATGCGCCTCTGGATCAGCCTCGAATTATAATTAATTGAATGATAGGTCAGTGACATCGTGGCATTAGTGTATAAATTCATTGGCGTTTCCCAATTAACATCCAGAGCTGCGTCATTAAAACAAACGTTTGGTCATTAACGACTTAGAGATGATTATGAAACAAATGTAATGAATACCAAGGTTCAAAAGACCGAATGTCTGCATGTTAAATAGGCCAATGATGATATTTTCAAAGGGAGCCCTGTGCGTGTGTCTTCTAGCTGTTTATCATTAAAATTGCCGGGCAGAGCGGTATCTTTAGAGCTTGTTGTAAAAAAGGGAAAATGCTGAATCAATCGAACTTTCGACAAAGAGAGAGAGAGAGAGAGAGAGAGAGAGGAGGGAGAGGGGGGGAGAAAGAAACTTTTGCAGGCTCGTGTTCATTCAATCACTCACCACTAACATTCTGGCTAACGAATTGAATAAATGAAGTCGCACTAGTGAGAGAATAAGTTCTTCTGTTTAATCACCCCACCACTAAATTGAACACACATTAGCAATCCATCAACTTTTTATTGATTTCTGTTGCCATGAATCACCGCAAACATTTTTTACGTGAACATCATACTGAGTACTTTATTACGCAAAGCAAAAACGTTGATGAGGATGGAGCTTTGGGCATGCATGTCACTTCCCTTGTAAAATCATTGGTTAGATGGGGACTGGGGTTAACAAAGAACTTAAGCCAGAAAAAAGGTACGATATAAATTTTAAGTC